TGACTATCTTGCACATTCTGCACACACACTCTAACAGTGAACTTTTCCTCTATGTCCCAATTCTAACTTTATGTTGGATAGATTCATTCACTCACTTCTAATGTTATTTTTCATATGGTTGGTTTTACATATGCCTTTCTATTGCTCTTAACAATACAATTGATCTACATATGATTTCAGATTTGATTTATATTATGATATATTGGTCTGTATTCTTGCAATATAGTTTCATAATATACATTAAATGTGTCTCATAACAATAACTATATTATTTGTTTTTTAATTAAAGGTTTTGAGGTATTTTATACATATTTTATTTCAAAGATAATTTTTTGGTTCTTTCTTTTCTTTTCTTTTATTTGGTACTTGGAATTAAATTCAGGGGAATTGAGCCACATACCCAAACATATTTTGTATGACATTAGGCACGGTATCTCACTGAGTTACTTAGGGCCTCACTTTTTCTGATGCTGGCTTTGAGCTCACAATACACCTCCCAAGGTACTGGGATTACAATTCTGCACCAACAGGTCAAGCTCTCTTCTTGTATTCAAAGAAAAACATGCTATAATTTTGATAGGAAAATATTATATATTAAATTGAGTTAAAATAGTTGTCTTTAAAATGATTAGTTTTACTTACACACGTGCTATTTTATGTGCTTTTGTAAATTTTTATTTAGTTTGTGATAAGTTCCACATATTTGCCTTGAAATCCATTATACATATGATGTATTTAACAGATGTAACCTCAGTATAATACTTATGTGGTATTTTGTTCTCTAATTAAACCAAAAATCTTTCTGGGCTCCAGAAACCATTTTTTTTTCTCAAATTTTATTATTTTTATTTTTCTAAATCACCTCATCTTTCCTCCTAGGCCACATATTTCTACTGTATTGACAAGTATAGCTCTAGTCTTATCCTATCACATACTTGTATGCTGTCATTGTACACACATACAATAATTTCTACAGGTCTAAGCTGCTTGGTGAAGAGTATTATATATATATATATACAGTTTTCATGATGAAATAACAGCAATTTCTACTCCATCAATTGTTAATTTTATGTATTATGTTCTTTTCTTTATTCTACTTTTTATAGAATTACTTTTTCCAAATTATTGAAATTAATGAGTTTTAAACAATTGAGTATAACAGTGCAGTCTGTGAATTTTCTTTTTTAACCTAAGACAAAATACATCCCAATTTTAATAGGCTTATTGTTATGTAAATGAAATTTAAAAACTTGCATATATAACACCCTTACCTGACCTTACTCTGGACTATTGATATCTGGGTGGAGGG